GGATTGTTAAGGGTCACTTATCGAGTCACGACTGTACACACACACCTACTGTTACGAGTTACTGTTGCTGAGCTGTGATTGGACAGCTGCAATTAGCGGGACGGGTTTAGTGAATGATCAACCAGTCATAATGAGTTTTAGCCAATCACATGACGACTTCCTCACCGAGTCAACCAGGATGTGCGAACCGTCTGATCCAGACGGTTTGTTAAAGACGACGTCCACAAAATAACGGCCTCCTGCATTCAGACACACTGGCGAGTCCAGGACCCCTCCTCTGTAAACAAACAAACAAACAGAAGAGTAAACAAACAGAACAATAAAATAAACAGAAGAAAACTGTAAACAAAACAACAGATGACAAGAAATAATCAGAAAACAACAGTAAAACACTGGCTCACAATAAAAACCAACAAAAAGAAAACAGCGAACAAACAGACCACAATAATAATCCAACAGATGACAACAAGAAACAGACAGGACTACAGCAAACAAATAGAGAACAATAATAAACAAACAAATAAAAAGGAAACAATAAACAAACAGAGAACAAAGATAATTAACAAATGGGCCACAACTGTAAACCAACAGAAGAAAACAGTGAACAAAGAGGATAACAGTATGTAAACAGAAGACAGTAAATAAACAGACAAAATACAACCGTAAACAATCAGATGGCAACAACAAACAAATAGAGTACAACCGTAAACAATCAGAAACAGACAAATGGAAGACAACAGTAATCAGCCCCAGGTTGAAACTACCTCTAAGCCCCTTTCAATCATTGGCTCGCTGAACATCCAATCGTATCACAGTAACTGTCACCTGCCGTTCCCTGCATTCACACTAATGGGGACGTTTCCTGTCCACCTGGACAGTCATGTGACTCACCTGGAGTTTCCAGGGAGAACCAGAGTGTTCCTGCCTGCTGGGTCACTGCTGCAGCTGCCGTCGCCTGGCAACAGTGTGATGATGCTGATGGAAGCCAGCCAATCAGACGGAGACTGCAGAGCAAGATCAGCTGATGTTAATTGCAGACGAGAAGCTTCACTTTAAAGTATAACAACAGTCAGGTTGTGTTAAACATACATCAGCCTTTTGATGACACCTTTAAATTAACTGTAATGATTAAGAACTGGGCTGCAGGTGTCTCGGTGGTTAGCACCGTTAGCATCGTTAGC